TACTAATAATACAAAGATAATACAAATATAAAGATGACACAAGAATAAATACGACATTGACGTTTCTGCTCCTCACCTGGCTGCCCATGGCTCTCAAAGCAAATCTCGTAAATTTCATAATCGTCGGTTGTGAAGGCAAACTTCCCTTTCTTGGCATCGTCCTTGGAGTAAAGGATGTGACCGGAGGAGTCGGTGACCTGCAGAGAAACAAAAGGCAGCGACAGTCTGATCAGATCGATCCCAAAGAGAGAAACAACAAAGAAAGAATATCGCATTTACAAAGCCCAATTAAATGACATTTTTTGTTTATTAATTCAGTCGCTTCCGACTCTTTGTGACCTTGTGGACCTGCCCATACCAGACCTCTCTCTCGCCCGTTGCCACACCCAGCTCTTTCAAGGTCAAATCAGTCACTTCACATTACATGTATCTTAATTTGCTTTTAAATACTGTTGTTCAAAATGAATACTCCAGAGGTCAGGAGCAGAATTCAAAACGATCTTGACAGATTAGAGAGATGGGCCAAAACTAACAAAATGAAGTTCAACAGTGACAAATGCAATATACTCCACTTTGGCAGAAAAAACGAAATGCAAAGATACAGAATGGGGGATGCCTGGCTTTAGAGCAGGACGTGTGAAAAAGATCTTGGAGTCCTCGTGGACAGGAAGTTAAACATGAGTCAACAATGTGATGTGGCGGCAAAAAAAGCCAATGGGATTTTGGCCTGCATCAAGAGGAGCATAGTGTCTAGATCTAGGGAAGTCAACACTGACAATGAAATACAACACCGCCTGAGCTCTGTGAGTGCAGCATTCTTCTGAATGAAGCAGAGACTGTTTGAGGACCAGGACATCCGTAGGGAGGCCAAGGTGCTTGTTTATAAAGCTATTGTCCTCCCAACCCTGCTTTACGCCTGCAAAACGTGGACTGTCTACAGACATCACATGCAACTCCTGGAACGATTCCATCAGCGCTGCCCCCGGAAAAGCCTGCAAATCTCTTGGGAAAATAGGAAGACAAACGTCAGCGTGCTGGAAGGAGCAAAGACCACCAGCACTGAAGCGATGGTCCTCCGCCATCAACTCCGCTGGACCGGCCATGTTGTCCAGATGCCCAACCACCGTCTCCCAAAGCATTTGCTCTACTCTGAACTCAAGAACGGAAAATGGAATGTCGATGGGCAGGAAAAGAGATTGAAAGATGGTCTCAAAGCCAATCTGGGCCAAACTTGGTATGAATACTCCATATGCCCAAATATGAACACAGATGGAGTTTGGAGGAAATAGACCTTGACATTTGGGATTTGTAGTTACTGGGATTTATAGTTCACCTATCATCAAAGAGTGTTCTGAACCACCCAAATGATAGAAGTGGGGCAAACTTTCCACACAGAATCCCCATATTATAATACTATAATACACTATAATACACTCTCCCTCTATACTATTAAAATATACACAAACACGCACACAGTATATATTATATTGAGTATATTAG